GGCTAGCAGGCGCGACGGCCGCGGTGAGGGGGAGAAACCTGGTGTAGGCAGGCTGTGGACATACTCCCAGAACTCGGTGACGGCGCTGGTGAGGTTGGTGGTATCGTCCAGGGAATAGTTGGAGAAGCAGCGGTCGGTGTTCCAGGTGTTCCCGCAGCTCTGCCACGGCAGGGCCTGCGCCGGTACAAGGACAGCAGGGTTATCATTAATGTGCCCTCTCCAAAGGGCAGTGGCAAGAAGCAAAATTTGTCTTCTTTTAAACTGAACCCCCTTTTTTTTTTTTGCAAAGAGGTTGGGCGGCTCCTCTGGATGGGCAGGAACCTTGCAGCCAAAAGCATGAAATGGTTTTCCAAAATAATGATAAACTGGGACTCGGATTCCCCAGGAAACAATATCGCGACATGGTTAGGACAATGCTGTAACTCTAATGAAATGTTAGCAATTCCCCAGATAGAAAGCCATTTCCAATTAACTGTTGGTAATTAATAGCTACTAATTAAAATAGCTACCGGGGGATACTGTGTTTATAATCATTACAGCTTTTGGCTAGCTTCACTCAACAAGTGGTTGGAATTTACTGCACAAAGAATAAACACTGATTTGTTTCTTATCTCTCATTAATACCAAGCTTCAATGCTTAAAAAGCAACGTGGCATTGAGAATGGGGGCTAACGGTTTGTCTACATGAATAAACTACTGTAACATAAGCCCAGGACTAAATTTAAAGCGTAGCAGCTATTTCATGCTGTCCCCTGCCCTGTTTATAAGCAGCACAGAGGGATTCCTGGGAGATGTTTACACCGTAGGTAGCAGCGTGACAGCAGCACACTGCTACAGATTTAATAAAATCAGCTCTGGTGCTGCAAGCAATGAAACGGCAGCATCAGGGCCTGTGCGAGCACACAGGGCAACTCGCCCATGCCATGTAGTGCCATGGCCGAGGCAGCCCCACCAGAGCAGCTCAGATACATCTCCATGTGCAGTAATCTCATTTCCCGAGTGCAGTGCATGTAGATAAATGCAGAACGGCTATTCTGGATGATTTCTTTCTGCAGATAAGACCTCAGGCTCCAGCAAAACAAAGCTTTAAGAAGATGTTTGTATCCATTCCTATTCATCCACGAACACAGACCCCTTTAGAAATATTATCTGTGTTTTAAGTGCTTTGTGGCATCGGTGCCTTTACGTGCTGCCTTCACCCCCCATCTAAATCAGTTCACTCCAGCAGATGATACCTCCTAACCTGCACGCTGGCTTGGCAGAAGAAGGGCTACGGAGGAGCAGGCAGGGACATCCCGGTGGCCACCCAGGCTGTTTGCACCCACCCAGTGATTCATTGTGGACTTGCTAATTGTACTGAAGCAAATGCAATGGCTCAAGCAGCGCCGCACAGCAGCCCTTCAACCAAGCGGTTTGCACATCAGAGATGCTGTGCAGCTCTTATAAGGAGGGGCAGGCAGGGGGGCGGTTTGTTGCCGCTCCATTTCCTCTGAATTTCAGAGGACAGAAACTGCAGAAGGCAAGCTGGGTTCCTGTTCAAAATACTCCTAGTCAAATTTAGCAGGAACAGGGGACAGGCATTAGCCTAGCTTTTTTATTTGTACCTTGGCTCCTTTGGGGAATCTGGAATTATCCCTGATAAAAGAAAAAGTCTTGAACCGAACACCTGGAGCTGCCTGTAGATACGAGCACTGTCACCAGTCAGGTCTGGGACACCTGACTGTACCAAAGCCTCATCTTAAGATGCATCCTGCCCAGGGTGGAATGGGGATGGGTTTCTTTGGGGTAGACTTTTGTTCATTTGGGAATCCCCCACGGGTGCACCTCATCATCCATGACTGACAATTTTGTTCTGGACCCAGGAGCCTACAGTGGGTATTGGTGGTAGAAACACAGCTGGGAATGCCAAACAGAATATTTTAGCAGAAGTCTTGATAAATACTTGAAATTTTTGATCAAACAAAAAGTGAAACTGGATGTACAATGTTCATAACTGCATTTCAGGGTTATACCTAAATGAAAAAAGATCCCATTTGAACCATGAGTTGACGTCTTTAAGGCTGCAGGTTGCTCAGAGAGTTAAGGGAGCTCTTCCCAGCTGCTGGGCTGAAATAAATCATTCAGCTACCAAGAAGTTAATGTGGGGCGTGATTCTGACCTTGTACGGTAGAAGACCCTGCTATGGAAGAGGAACCCACTATAAACCACAGTGCCAAAGAACATGTTAAGGGACAGTCACAAGCAGATGTCTAAATTCTTTCTGAATCATTTTCCCAGCAGAAAAAATCCCTGGGATTTCATTTATCAAGAGAAGCGTAAATGAGGACTAATTAAGGTCAGGACTAAGTCCTGACTAAGTTCTTATAACATGTGACAAAAACAGTTGTGGAAATGTGCAGCTCTTAGATTCACACAGCTCTAGAAATATGAAAGAAAGATGGGTTTTAAAGACTGACGCAATTAGCAACAGTTCCCAGAGAGGGAACAGGACCATCCTCTCCAGAGGACCACCCTCTCCAGAGGACAAGCATCAATACCCATCAGCACTACACGACTGCCTCCAGGGCTGATGCACCTCTTTGGGAAGGGTCCAGCAGGGTGCTGACGAAGGGTCTTGGCATAAACTATAAGCAGTTAGTGCATGTTTTGTGGCATAAACAACTCCTCCCCATAAAGCAGGGAGGAAGGACCCATAGCACAGATAATGCCATGCTGTAGATGCGTCTGTGACTCACCGTGGTGAAAGAGTTGAAGAGGTAGTAGAGAGCCCAGGCGATGATGACAATGTAGTAGATGTTCAGCCAGAAGGAGAGAACCACGGCTGCCAGCCCCACTCCTGCAAACGAAGGCAGAGAGCAGCATCAATCCAGGTCTCCGGTGCCCAATGGTGCTCATGGACATCACAACAAGTTTTGTGGCAGAGCCAGAAAAAGCGAACCAGCTCATCAATGCCGC